GCACAAACCCGTGTCCCCTGCATCGGCAGGCGGACTCTCAACCACTGTGCCACCAAGGAAGCCCTGTTTTTCATACTTTTGTGCTAATGTTCTGAATATTTTCTTCTGACCTATTTTGTTGTTGTCCTAATGCTGTTTTCAGCGATGTCTAAGCCATTGTTAATCCCATTTATTGATTTTATAATTTTTGTTTTTACTTCTGTAATTTTTGATTTAGAGTTTTCAGTTCTTTGAAGAAATTTTAAATTTTGTGTTGTGTGTATTTGAACATAATAACCATACTTTTTATAAATGTCTGTATCTGAAACTCCAAAATACAAATATGTTTTGATCTTCATGTTTCTGCTGGTTTTCATTCATGTTGTCTTGACTCTCATGTGTTTAGTATTTTTCATTGTGCCGAAAATGGTAATGAACTAGTATTAGAAATTATTTGTAGCCAAAGTGACATTGTTTTCCTCTAAAGAGGATGTATATTAGCTTCTGTCTGGTGTCTGGGGGCACTTGTAATTTAGGGTTATGTGAGTCAAATTTCAGAGTTTGAGATGATCAAAGCCCAGCTGCAGTCTCTGGGTGGGCCTATGTACTTTTAGTTTATTGTCATTCCTGGCTTGCAGCCCCTCAGTGTTGCAGCTGAAAGAGGGAAGGGATTTACTAGTGTTCTTCTTTTCCCTTAGTTGTCTATGGACGTAGATCCCTGTACTTTCAGGCTTCTGAGTTTGTCAGAAGTACCTTCCTCAGGCTCAGTAGTTGTGGCACGTGGGCTTAGTTGCTCCGCAGCATGTGGGATCCTCCTGGACCAGGGCTCGAACCCATGTCCCCTGCATTGGCAGGTGGATTGTTAACCACTGCACCACCAGGGAAGTCCCCAAACTTCATACTTTTATAGTGGTTCTCAGAGGAATTATTGGTCTGAATTATTCAGTTTACTCTTACGAAAAATGTCAGTGTCAGCATCTGAATTAAAAATTTCCCTTGGGGAGCTTCCCTGGTGGCGCAGTGATTGAGGTTCTGCCTGCCAATGCGGGGGACATGGGTTTGAGCCCTGGTCTGGGAGGATCCCACATGCTGCGGAGCAACTAGGCCTGTGAGCTACAACTACTGAGCCTGCGCATCTGGAGCTTGTGCTCCACAACAAGAGAGGCCGTGACAGTGAGTGCCCGCTCACCATGATGAAGAGTGGCCCCCTCTCGCCGCAACTAGATAAAGCCCTCACACAGAAACGATGGCCCAACACAGCCAAAAAAGAAAACAATAATTTCCCTTGGGGAGTTCCCTGGTGGCCCAGTGGTTAGGATTCTGGGCTTTCACTGCTGTGGCCCGGGTTCAATCCCTGGTCGGGGAACTGAGATCCATCCAGCAAGCCTTGTGGCACAGCCAAAAAAAAAAAAAAAAGTTTCCATTTATTTGTGTTACCGTGTGTATTAACTGGAGAAACGACTAAGAGTCTTATCAGTAGTGGTTTGACGATCCGTCAGTAGTGATAATTTGTTAATGTTTTTGTTGTGCATTTCCTAAAATGGACATTTAAGGGAACTGTTCATAAAGTTAATAATTTGTCTTTGAAAAAGCTTTATTGAAAAATGGAAAAATGACATTATTTTTGTTTATTTATTTTTAGGTTGGGCTCATGTGGTTTGTGCCCTGTATATTCCAGAGGTACAGTTTGCCAATGTTTCTACAATGGAACCAATTGTTTTACAGTCTGTGCCACATGATCGTTATAATAAGGTATAGTAGATATTATTTTATTGATGTTTGAATACAGTTTTTTTGTTTTAAAACTGGGAAGTGTAAAGGAATTTTTAAATTTTGTTTTATTACAGCCCTTCATTAAAAAATTTAAATTAAATACCTCCATTGATTTGGAAAAAGTGTAATTACTGTGGTAAACTACAAGTATTAAAATATGTTACTAAGGTCACAGAAGTACAAAACAAACACACAAACAAAACTATATTACCTTTTACATTAACCTAAGTATTTAAGCTTCTAACATTTTAATCTGTATAGATTTGTTCTATTTTTAAAAAGAAATATTTATTTATTATTTTGGCTGCACCAGGTCTTAGTTGTGGCACTTGGGATCTTCGTTGCAGCATGCAGGATCTTTAGCTACAGTATGCGGAATCTTATAGTTGCAGCATGTGGACTTCTTAGTTGCGGCATGCAGACTTCTTTGTTGTGGCATGTGAACTCTTAGTTGCAGCATGAATGTTTGCCTGGTTCCCCGACCAGGGATCAAACCCGAGCCCCCTGCATTGGGAGCACAGAGTCTTACCCATTGGACCACCAGGGAAGTCCTTAGATTTGTTTTTGTTTTGTTTTGTTTTGTTTTTGCGGTACGCGGGCCCCTCGCTGTTGTGGCCTCTCCCGTTGCGGAGCATAGGCTCTGGACGTGCAGGCTCAGTGGCCATGGCTCATGGGCCCAGCCGCTCCGCGGCATGTGGTATCTTCCCGAACCGGAACATGAACCCTTGTCCCCTGCATTGGCAGGCGGACTCTCAACCACTGCGCCACCAGGGAAGCCCTATTGTTGCCTTTTTTAAAAACCTTAGTTAATGTTCACGTTTTTCCTGTATCTTTTTATTAATTTAGTACATTTATATTATTGTTTCGTTCTCTTTTGCATATTATTGGATGATTTTTTTTAGTAGCCACTGTGTCTTTAAGTATAGTGTTACCATTTTTAACTGAAGGTACCTGTTGATTTATTCCATTGGTGAACAAAGTGTCACTGCAGCCAGTTCTAAGTTTTCAAAATACAAAACATTTTGTAATGTAGATCGTTAGTATTTATTTAAAAAAAATGGAAAATATGGAGAAAAAAATAGGAAAATGCGAAACAGAAATAACCTAAAATCTTTTTTGTGTGCATTTTTACATATACTATATAACTGTAAAATGTTTGGATCATAGTGCTTATACTGTTCTGTTTTTGAAACTTAATAACCCTGAACATCATTTTGTGTTAATAAATTATATTTTGTCATTATTTCTAGTGGATATTTAGCATCTAATACAAAGTATTATTCGTTTTGATAAAATATAATTTATTAGGAACGCCTTAGGAATGCTTTCTTGTTGAAGAGCCTCACTTGGTGTTTGGCATGTACATACCAGCCGAATCTCTGTGTAAAAGAGTATGAACATTTTGGAAGCTTCAGTAAATATATTGTGTGAAGTTGTTCTAGAATGTAGTTTCTCATTTAATAATCACACTAGTTATATGTGAGATTGCACATAATCTTATATCCTGTTAAATGCACTGTATGTTACCATTAAAACAGTCTTTGCTATTCTTTTTAGTGAAAAATATTACAGTGTTTGAATGATTTTCTTTGAATATTGGTAAGGTTAGATATTTTAAAGTTTTTTAAAAAGGTTATTCATGTTTGTTAATTGATCTTGAATAGCTCTTCGTTCAATTTAATATTGTAATGTTTTAATTTTTTCTTACAAAATGTTTTTTATGTTGGAGATGTTATTCTTTATTCTTATATACTTGCTGTGAATGCTTTTGCCCATAACTTAACATTTTCTTTTTAATTTTCATTATGTCTTGATGGTTTTTATTGTTGTCGGTATTCTAGCAGGTTAACTTCTTCTAGTTTGAAGTTTAAAATTTTTATGTAATTTACACAACTACTCTTTATTGTTTCTGCCTTTGTTGCCATGCAAAGAAAATCTTTCTCTACACTAATGTCTATTTTTTTTTAGTACTTTCAAAATTCATTTCTAAAAATACTTGTTTTTTTCCTTTCAATTTTGAAATAATTTCAAACTTAAATTAAGGTTGCATTAATAGTACAAAGACTTCTTCCTCTCCTAAACCATCTGAGAGTAATTTATCACATAACACCGACACCTCTGAATGCTTTAGTTTGTATTTACTATAAAGAAGGACTTTCTTCTACATGACCAGAATACAGCCAAAATCAGGAAATTAACATTTATGCATTATTACTGTCTAATCCAGAGACCCCATCATTATTTGCCTAATTTTCATTCATGTTTTCTTTTTTCCCTTTCATAGCAAAAAGATCACAGATTGCTTTTTGTCTCTTAGGTCTCCTGAATAGTAACTCAGTCTTTCTCTGACTCTCATAACTTTGATACTTCTGAATGGCATAGGCCAGTTATTTGTAGAATGGATTTTTATAATGTTTCCACATGATTAAATTCAGATTATGTGTTTTTGGCAGGAATATCACAGAAACGATGCTATGTTCTTCTCATTGCATCCTGTCAGGTGGTACATGATTTCAGCTTTTCCCATTACTGGTGATTTTACCTTGATCACTTGGTTAAGGCAGTGTCTACAAGATTTCTCCTCTGGGAGGTTAATCTTTATTCCCTTTATAATCAGTAAGCATTTTGTGGGGAAGTACTGTTTTTCTTTTTGCGGTTGATATGCGGGCCTCTCATGTTGTGGCCTCTCCCGTTGCGGAGCACAGGCTCCGGACACGCAGGCTCAGTGGCCATGGCTCACGGGCGCAGCCGCTCCATGGCATGTGGAATCTTCCCGGACTGGGGCACAAACCCGTGTCCCCTGCATCGGCAGGCGGACTCTCAACCACTGCACCACCAGGGAAGCCCAGGGAAGTACTTTTTATGTAAATATCTTGTTCCTTGTGCCTTTTACTCACTAATTTTAGCACTCATTATTGTTTCTTTGCTTAATTAATCTATTAGATTGATGGCAAGTGGTGGTTTCCTAATTCCATCTTTTACATTCATCAGGTGGCATTCCATTTTAAGGAAAAGCTTTCTCCACTCCCCAATTATTTATATTAGTATGGACTAATATTGACTTACATGTTAATATTTTATTTTAATGGGTCATTCCCCATTACTGTCACTTATTGTGATGTTCATATTGTCTCAGGGTTGGCCAGTGGGACCTCTTCATGTGGGTTCCTGTGTCTTTTGACATGCTTCTATCATTGTTTGAGCACTTCTTTACTTCTGACATGACAGTATGTTCTAGACACATCTTAAACCATTCCTTGTCTTAGCCCTAGAATAACATTTCTCCAGGGAGCCTTGATTTGTTTTAGGTGAGAATGGTATTTAGAAACCAAAGTGGACACTAGGTGTGCTCATTGTTATTAGGATGTTGCTACTTCCAGGCTCTCTCAGTGTGTATAGATGCAGAGATAAACGCACATTCACGTCTATATCTTCTTTATATTTTGAAGTTGGTGAGGTCACACAGATACTTCTGATTTAGTATATGGATTTATGTATTAAATACAAACATATCTGTATGTATTTCTGTATATGTCTGTCTTTGTATCTGTTTATTTATCGAACCATAAACTCCTAGGAATTTCTTAGTAATTTCCCTAAACCTAATCCAACAGCACAGAGTTCATTCTAATGTTTTTTTCTTTTTGTGTTATGACTCTCATGCCAGACAGTGAGAATCCTGACTCCCATTATCCTCAATATATTTATTTGATCATTCTCTCTTATATTGACAAATCTTCTGTTGCTGCCATCCCATAATACAGAGGCCCGCCTAACCATGTTCAGGCTCAGACCTCACTCTGGGTTGCTGCTGCTTCCCTGCATGTGTTCCTTTATTTTTTTAAACCATTTTGGGGGTTTGACACCCAGCTTCAGTCCAGAACTACCTCTTCTCCCCTCACTTTGCTCACTTTGCTCAGGTTCTTACAACTCACTTGGACACTACCTCCACCCCAACCCCCAACACTCTCATGAGCGCCAACACTACTGGGGCTCTGATAGTTGAGTTGGCCTGCCCCTTCCTTCCCAGGATAGATGCTAGCATGCTTGGACCCAGCTCATGGCTTTAAGACTAAAGTACTCAAGAAGTAAGGGAGGGAGTATAGAGGCAGAATGAATTCATTTAGATATAAATCTTCTATCCAGTTAGAGTTAATTTTAGAATATGGTGAGATGTATGTGTAATCTTTCCCCTCCCATGTGGTTTAGTCAACCTTTTCAACACTATTATTGAATAATCTGTGTTTTGCACAGTGATTTGAAATACTGTTTGAATCATTATTAAATTCTTGGGTATTCTTGACATTTTTTCTGTTCCATTGATGTGTCTTTCTATTCTTATTCTGGTACCGCACTGTTTTAAATTATTATGGCTTTAAATACATCTTGGTACATGGTAGAACAAATATTGTCATGTATTTCTTTCTTTAGATGAACGTTAGGAGTAACAATACAATTTTAATTTTACTGGTGCTACAGTGAAATACTATTTTGGGGAAAAATTGATCTTTTTGGAATATTGAATCTCCCCTTCCAGAAGCATGGTATATCTCTCTGTCAAATTTTTTTCCTTATATGTTTCTTGGATTCTTATGGTTGTTGGTCTGTATAGTTAACCTTAAAAAGAATAATATTCTGTTCATGAATATTCAGTATGGTTAATAGGGGACATGTAATTCTGAAATGATAGGAACAATGGGAAAATGGATTGTTGCATTCTGGAAGACATCAATCTTTTTTTTCTCTTTGGGGGGTGTGTGCGGGCGTTCCCTGACCAGGGATTGAACCTGGACCATGGCAATGAAAGCGCCAACTCCTAACCACTGGACTGCCAGGGAGCTCCCCTGGAATACAACAGTCCTTAATGAGTGGTAGTAAAGGATAATGTGGAGATTATTAATAAATGTATTGGGCACTTAAAATGGACCTGCGTTGCATTGTGCTAGACGCTAAGAGTTCAGAGTTTCATAAAATACAGG